ATATTTGCTTTGCGATACCAAGGCAAATTGAACAGTGTGGTGGAATTACAAAATTTTTAACAAATTTAAACAGTCAAACGAAAACGACAAAAATTTAAAATCAAACAAACAATTTGTGACAATTGAGCAAAAAAAAAAAAACTACAAAAATTTAAGACAATACAATCAAGAGATTGTGAGAAAAATTTTTTAAGCGTTGCGAGCAGCATACCTGCAACTGCAACAAATTTTTTTAGCGTTGCGAGCAGCAGACCTGCAACAACAACACATTTTTCAAGCGTTGCGACCGCCAGCAGTATACCTGCACTTAACGGAGAAGCGGTGCAAACGCCCTACTGGAGCATAAAAGGCGTAAGCGGTGCGACCCCAGCACTACCAACAATTTCACTACAAACCGGACAGAACCCCTACCCGAAGAGGCGGAACGGAAAAATAAATCAAACCGGCTAAGTAAAAGCACCCATGGCTGAGTAAGTCCATATATTTCATGTGCATATGTATATAAATATATTGCGGTAGCCCGGTAATTATACGAAAATAAAAGGAGACCTAGTTTTCCAACCCCCGTTACTTCGAAAAAAGACAAGTTTTTTCAAACACCCCGTTAATCTCGAAAATTCCAGTTGCGCCTTGTTGAATTTAAAACTTATGCATATACATATATGTATATATATGTTTATATGTACATATGTAAGTTAACAAGGGGGCCAACCTACTTACTAATGCGAATGTGCTGACGCCGCACTTCGCCAAACACGCGCATAGCCAGTGCAGGTAATTGACCTGCAACGTAAGCGATACCAATTGGTTTTATGCAACCAAAATGCAAATCGTGGGAAGCGCAGCGTCAGCAACTAATCAATTAATTCGGGCCGTTTAGATACTTAGCGATAGCTTTAAGTAATATTTTGTATTCATTCTTATTTGGAGAGCCGAATGGTAAATATACAATTGTACTGCTAATCTTGCTTTTTATTTCTACCCTTAGGGAAACCTGGGGCCGCGGGGCGGCCCCCAACTTTAATTTTTTCGAGCACGCATCCGCGTGTTCGTTAAGTTGTATATATGCACATAGTAACAGCAAATTAGCTAGCATCTTTGACTTTGCTAAAGTCGTACAGTAAAAGTCCTGTTATATTTTAATTTACATATGTATGTAGGCAAATATATCAGGCGGTAACCAAAACCAGCGAAAAATATTTGAGCGCGTATGTGTACATACATATGTACATGCATACAACTCCCACTCACTGTTTCTGAGGACGTTTTAACTCATTGTTCTGAAGCTATCAAATTCGCAGCGTTAGCAAATATATTCACATACTTAATTGCCTATCTTCTCTATTCGCGGTCTATATCAGTGCCCCTGTAACTAGCTCATATGCGTACTGACTCTTAAGCGCAATATCAATTGCACTCAATATTCAAATAAAAGAAAAAGGGCGGAGCTTATTTGTACAGTGGGCCGCTGCTGACCATAAATTTCACTAGAGTACAGTGGTACGAAAGTGAAGTAATTCAACCCAAAGCTAACACCCACACAACCCAATAAATTAAATAAAACGTAAAAAAGCGGATTAAGGCCCATACATATATATATACAAAAAATAAAATTTTTTCCTAATTACGTATATTTGTGAACACGTATACGGATATATTACATACATATCTACGACGACTCAAAATAAAATAGCAAAAAATAGTCGATCGCGACTGTACCGCATTGCAGCTGTGCATAATTACATACGCTAATCGCCCACTCATTGTTATATCCTAATTCGCATAGTTAACTCACAACTTATGTACATTAATATATGTTTCTGACCCTTTAATCCAGCCTTCTTATATTGAGTGTACCCGCAACTTGCTCACACTCTAATATACGCATACACTCAATATTAACTCCACTCAATTTTAAATAAAATAAACAAAAAGGCGGAGCTTATTGGCACAGTGGGCCGGAGCTGACAAAACATCGCACTTGAGTACAGTGGTACAAAACTGAACGATTTTTACAAAAAAACCCAACCCCATAAAGAAAGCGAAATTAAAACTAAATTAAGTCACCGTTTTTTTTAACCGTAGAATATCTACTCATACCCACCCCCTAAAATATTTCGGTTTAAATTATAAACTCTTACGCTACCTATTTAATAAAATTTCGCCCAACAAAATGCCGCAAGATAAAGATACCCCTACTGAAAAAACCAAAAAAATAACTGTCTCCAAAAATTTATTTTCGAAAGCAATAGGCTGAAGATTTTTTGTTCAAAATGGTCACCGTCCTTAGCCACTGATCAAACCGAAACCTTACTTGAGGTCAAAATCCAACAACTGGACAGCAACTGGGATAGCCTTTTAAAAGCTTACGAAGCAATATTCATGGACGATGATCACCCAGAAGTCAGTGGCTCAGTAGAACAAAAATACTGCAAATGCTCGGAGAGCTACCAAACCTGCAAGTCCCAAATGTTGGAAGCATTACATCTTTTTAGAGTTAATACGATCCCTCAAGCTACCCAGCAAACATTCAACACGACTTTTACCCCAAACCCTTCTGCCTCCAACGAGGTTTATCTCAAGGTACCACCGTGCGAAACAGAAGTATTCCCCGGTGGCTACGAAGACTGGCCGGCATTTAGAGAAATGTTTACGGCAGTCTATATAAAACACCACAAATTAACCCCCGCTCAAAAGTTGTACCATTTGCGATATAAGACAAAGGGACAAGCAGGACTTGTTGTAAAACAATACCCTCCTACCGACGAAAACTTTGCGCTTGCATGGGAAGCTTTAAAATCACGTTACAAAAACCCAAGAATTCTAGTGGATAACCAGCTCAAAACCCTACTAAATTTGCAGCCCGTTTACGGAGAAAGTGGCGAGCAATTACAAAAGCTACAAACAACAATTAATAATTGCCTCTCCACTCTTGCATCACAAAAATTTTCTACGAAGGACTGGGATCCCATTCTTGTGTACTTGTGTTCATCGAAACTACCAAGTGAGACACTTTCCCTGTGGGAGCAATCCCTCAGCTCTCGGAAAGAGTTGCCACTATGGTCAGAGATGAACAAATTCCTCACTTGCAGGTACGAAGTGGTTGAACGGCTTGGTACGTATCGACCGACTAAACCCAAACCACAGTTTACCCCCTTCAACCCTAGAGCTGGCAGTCACAGGTCCACATTTATTAATAAAAATCGCACCCAAAACTTCCACGTAGATTCCGCGAAACCAGTTTCATGCAAGCTGTGCAACTCCAATCACGCAATGAAACTTTGCGTTAGATTCAAAAATCTCTCTGTACCTGACCGTCTAAAATTCGTACGTGAGTACAAGTATTGTGAAAACTGTCTCTCTTGTTCACACTTAAAAGGTCAATGTCAAAGCAAGTTTACATGTGTATACTGACAACAACTTCATCACTCGTTACTCCATTTTCAAGCAAACCAGCAAAACTCGAAACCCAACTCAAAACCCCAATCATCGGCGACGCAGGCAACAACCACAGTGGAAATAGCAGACGACATGCCCTCCACGTCAACAGGAATCGTCCACACCCCACCAACCCACAAAAAAGCAGTCAACAAAGTTTCAACTCACTTCTCGTGCAGCAAAGGAACCACCCTATTACCCACAGCGATGGTACCAATTTACTTCGCGGGAGAATATCACCAGATCCGAGCAATGATAGACCAAGGCTCACAAAAAACCTTTGTCACGTCTCGGATCCAAAAAATATTAAATTTACCCACCAAAGAAACCCATTATGAAATATCGGGAATGGGAGGGCTAGTAGTCCAAAACTCGAAAAATGTTTGCGAGTTAACCCTTTGTTCTGCGGACTTAAAGCAAAAAATTCAAACCCAGGCTATTATTTTACCCCACCTGACCCATTTTCTACCCAGTCTCAAGGTGTCATACGTAAACCTTCCAGAATTAGCGACTTTAACTTTAGCAGAC